TTGAAGCAAATTTTGTTCGAATGATGTTCCCCTCCAGGTGACCTCTGTCAGAGTGGCCTGTTATTGCGTCATTCCCTTTGGTGAGTCCTATAGCAACCGAGTAATTTTCAATGGACTTGATGTAACTGTGCTATTTTCTGCACCTAGGCCAGTTACTGTTGCTAGGCTAGTGGGGGTGGGCTGTGGCGGGGTGGGGGGAGGTGCGGAATGTGGTGGAGAGGTGGTGATGTTTAGCAGCAGCCTGTCTGTACAATGATTGAAGATATTGGTTTGACATCATTCCAGGTGCAAGAGGCCTCTCTCTATCCTGAAGAGGTTGGAATTTGGATTTTGTCAGTGCACCTTTCTTTAAAGCCAAATTGCTTTAAGTGCTTGGAACACAACAGATGTTTCTGTTTGGGATTATTCATGAAACATTCACCCAGTGCCTTCACCTCTTAAGGACAGTTTTCAAGCTGATGCCCAGCAGATCAGTTAACTTCTGTGGAGGGAGAACAGCTAATGTTCTGGGATTACTTTCCTTGTAGTTCACACAAGGGTGGCCGCATCTGATTTATTATTTCCCTCGGGACATGTTATCCAACCTAGTGAGTGCTTCCAGAATCTCTGGTGCTTTGCTCTTCAGTTATGAACCCTGCTGGGTCCCCAGAGAGAGAAGCGCGGGGAGCGTTAAATCGTTGAGAAACGTTGTGGGCCCCAGCTCTGCAAGGCTGGTCAGTACATGTTGTGCGTCGTGTCTGGAATGTGTGATTGAGGAGGGGAAGGGGAAGTGTTTGATGAGAGCAGAGGTAACGTTGCATTCCCAAAACAAAGGAAATGTTTGATTTAAAATTATTTCTGTGATGTGGGCATTGCTCGACAAGGCCAGCACTTAGTATCCTAGACCCCACCTTGAGAAGGCAGCAGGTGCAATTTACCTTCCCGAACCCCTGCAGTCCGAGTGATGAGTGCTGTTATCTGGAGGGTTTCAAGGTCAGGAAGGGTCCAGTGATACAGAGTCCAGCTCGGGACCCCCTGTGACTTGCAGGCAAAGTAGGAGGTACTCATGTTCCCACGTGCCACTTTACCTTTCTTGGGGTTGGGGTTTGGTGGGTTTGGGGGGTTTGGGAAATGTTGTAAAAGAAGCGGTTGTATGTGTATGAGACAAGGAGGCACTGGGAAGCCTCATGAGGCTCCATTGGTCTTGCCTTCATCTGTGCTAGACAATGGCCATTTCCAACATGGGGAAGTAATGGCCTAGTGGTATCACCTCTGGACTGTTAAGCCAGAGACCCAGATAATATTCCAGGGACCTGGGTTTGAATCCCACCGTGGCAAATGATAGAATTTGAATTCCTAATGTATCTGGAATTAAGAGTCTAATGATGACAGTGAATCTGTAGGGGTGGCTCAGTGTTTAGCACTGCTGCCTCACAACGCCAAGGACCCTCAGGCGACTGTCTGTGTGGAGTTTGCACATTCTCCCCATGTCTGTGTAGATTCCCTCCGGGTGCTCTGGTTTCCTCCCACAGTCCAAAGATGTGCAGGCTAGGTGGATTGGCCATGCTAAATTACCTGTAGTGTTCAGGGATGTGTAGCTTAGGTGAGTTATATGGGCATGGGTCTGGGTGGGATGCTCCAAGGGTTGGTGCGGACTTGTTGGGCCGAAGGACCTGTTTCCACACTTCTTCTATAAAGAGTCTAATTATTGCCCTTAATATTTGAGTGCGTTACTGTCACTGAATCCCACACTGCCAACATCTTGGGGGTTACCATTGAGCAGAAACTGAACTGGATTAGCCATATAAATAAATAAAGACATATAAATACATATGAATCCTGCTGCAAGCACTCTCCTGACTCTCCAAAGCCTGCCCACAATCTACAAGGCACAAGTCAGGAGTGCGATGGAATACTCCCCACTTGTCCGGATGGGTGCAGCCCCAACAATAGTTGAGAAACTTGGCCCAGTGTGCTGGATTGGTACCACCCCACTTATACTGCAGAGTGCACCGCAGACATTCACCACAGCTGTTTAGATAGCCCTTTCCAAACCTGTGACCTCTACCATCCAGAAGGACGAGGGCACCAGATACATGGGAACATGACCATCTTCAAGTTCCCCTCCAAACCACTCACCAACCTGACTTGGAAATGTATTGGTGTACCCTCAGTATCGCTGGGTCAGAATCTTTGAACTCCCTCCCTGATGGCATTGTCTGTGTACCTACTCAAAAGGGATTGCAGTGGTTCAAGAAGGCAGCTCATCACCACCTTCTCAAGGGGCAACTAGGGATGGGCAATAAATGGTGGACCAGCCAGCGATACTATAACCCACAAATGAAATTAAAAAGCCTAAGACCCATGCAAGGATGCACAGTCAGTGCTTGCAGCCACTTCCTCTAACAGGGCCTCTGTTAATTAATGCATGAACCCAAGCATTAGGAGCTGGTGTTGCTCACAGCATCAAAGCAGAATTCTGATGAAGAAGGGAAATGGTAGTTGGCAATAACTACATCTCCATCAAGATGTGGGAAGTAAATGCAACATGGCTTAAAATGGAGCCAAGGTCTGTTCTTGTAATTGCCTCGAGAATATACTGATTATCTCTGACATGATGGATTGGAGCAGGAGCTGGGAGCTGATACCCAGAGAGCACAGGAATTTGTAACTACGTCCAGTAATGAGGAAAGATTCAGCAGCGTTGTACAAACTGTGCAGTAACTGTCTACCTGCAACTCCTCTCGCTACTGCAGGCTCAAGAGTCTCTGAGCTAAACAGCAGAGTATTGCACTGTTTGAAATGTCCAAACTCCCTCTCCATAGGGAGACATGGTCACACACTCCTTGTTTTCATTGACACATGGGATGTGGACCTCACTGGCATAACCGGTATTTCTTGCCCATCCCTAAAGGAGAAGGTGGTGAGCCAACTTGAAGAAAAGCAAGCGATGTTTCCACAGCCAGTCAAGAATCGACCACATTACTGTGGGTCTGGAGTCACGTGTAGGCCAGACCGGTTAGGGATGGCTCATTTCATTCCCTAAAGGGCATTAATGAATCAGAAGGGTGTAGATGACAAAGCAGCAGTTTCGTGGTGACAGTGACTGAGATTAGCTATTTGTCCCAGATTTACATGAGGAATTGAATTTGAATTCCCAGTTCCCAGGCTGGAATTTGAACTCTGGTCTCTGCCTATAAATTTGTGAATCCTGTTACATAACCATTATTTTTTTTTTCACTTCCAGTTATCTTTTATACATGAAAAGATCACAGCTTCCCAAGCATGAAGGGTAGTTTGTTACATTAAGTTTATCTGTATAAAAATCCTACCATTTTCACCAGCCCTTTTTATTCTAATTATTCATTCTTGGAATGCAGGTAACGCTGGCATTAATTGCCCATTCCTCATGGTCCTGGAGAAGGTGGTGATGAGCTGTATTCTTGAGCTGCTTCAGTCCACGTGGTACCCCATGGCACCCATGGGTAAAGGCACCCATAATGCTGTTAGGGAGGTAGTTCCAGGATTTTGACCCAGCGTCAATGAAGGAATGTCAATTATATTTCCAAGTCAGGATGGTGTGTGGCTTGGAGAGGGGGCAGTAGTGTTGTATCTACTGCCCTTGACATTTCTGGGTGTTAAGGTCACTGTTTGGAAGGTGCTGTAGGAGGAGGCTGGGGTGAGTTGCTGTAGTGCATTTTATAAATGGTACACAATACTACCTCTGTGCATCCGTGGTGAAGGGAGTGAATGTTGAAGATGGTGGGTTATACACCAATGAGGTGGCTGTTTTGACCTGGACGGTGTCGAGTTTCTTGAGTGTTGTTGGAGCTGCACCCATTCAGGCAAGTGGGGAGTATTCCATCACACTCCTGACTTGTTCCTTGTAAATGGCTTTGGAGAGTCAGGAGGTGAGTGACTTAACACAGATTTCCCAGAAATGGTATTTGTGTGGCTGGTCTGATTCAGTTTGAGAATGATAAAATTAAACATGGGAGTAGCAGGTGGGAAATTCATGAATGGGGTAAGATAAGGACAGTGCAGAATGTAGCTGCAGCTGAACTAGCTTCACACTCAAAGAATGAAGTGATAATACTATGACTTAAGAGGTTATTTTGTCCTGGTTTTTGATTTGAAGAGAGGTTTTAAGGCAGAGGTAGTGAACAGTCTACCAGAGCCACTGGAGTAAATAGCTTGAGAGGGCTTGGAGATAACACAGTGTGGAGCTGGAGGAACACAGCAGGCCTGGCAGCATCAGAGGAGCAGGAAAGCTGATGTTTCGGGTCGGGACTTGGGTTTTTTTATGTTTGAAGAATGGAAACAGTCTGAGTGGATGTGGTCAAGCTCCCACAGAACCAGGATTTTTAGTTTTAGCGTTCAGCAGTTGCTGTTGGTGTCTGGAAGAAATGGAAGCTATTTTTCCCTCTCTCTGTTACAGCCAAAAGCTGGGGGGCTCTCTTCCTGCTACTGGGGTTGCATGTGAGACAATCTGTTTTCTGAATTTGCCTTTTTCTAAGGGTGTGTCTACGGAATGTTACTATATAGGAACAGTTAATCAGTAATAGTTACTGTATCTATTATTCTGTGAAGTTTTCCAGTCGAGTTGTTATTCCAATCCCTTCTTTCTTTTGTTGTAGTTTAATTATAGTGGATGAATAAAGTGTGTTTTGCTTTAAATCCGGTAGTTTGACCAATCGAATTGCATCTGGAACACAACACCTTACACTTACCTTCAAAATAAGAAAACGTTAGGGTCTAAGACGATCTTCTGAATATTTTGAGGGGGTTTGGTCTGGTCCAGAACAATGATCTCTTTGGTGTTGCCAAGGAGCTTTACCTCAACTCGAACAATCCTTAAAAATAAGAGCAGTGGAGGAAAGTGGCACGGTGGGAGGGAGTGAGTGTGTGGAGAGGGAAGAGAGTTATGTTTCTCCCCTTGTTACAGTGCCTGCCACTGCTGTGGTTAATCTGACCTGAGCTCTGTGAAGCCCTGAATTCTTTCTCTTCCACTCTCTTGGTAGGACACTGCAGGTCAAGAACGTTACCGGACCATCACTACAGCCTATTACAGGGGCGCCATGGGATTTCTGCTGATGTACGACATTGCCAACCAGGAATCCTTCAGTGCTGTACACGATTGGTGAGTATCCACCAAGTGTATAAATCCCCAGAAGAAAGCCACACTGATCCTCATCCAGATCTCGGTGTCTGCAAGATGCAATTCTCACTCGTGGTTTTTGCAGTTGTACTCCCATGCCCCAGCAACCAGCCCCCACCGTCTTCTCCCCACACCCCCACCAAGTCATTTATGAAGCATTTATATGAAGGATTTGGTGTGAGGTATGGTTAGTAAATTTGCAGATGGCACCAAAATTGGTGGTATAGTGGACAGCGAAGAAGATTATCTCAGAGTAAAATGAGACCTTGATTAGATGGGCCAAATGGGCCGAGGAGTGGCAGATGGAGTTTAATTTAGATAAATGTGAGGTGCTGCATTTTGGAAAGGCAAATCAGGGCAGGACTTATACACTTAATGGTAAGGTCCTGGGGAGTGTTGCTGAACAAAGAGACCTTGGAGTTCAGATTCATAGTTCCTTGAAAGTGGAGTCGCAGGTAGACAGTGTGGTGAAGAAGGTCTTTGGTCTGCTTGCCTTTATTCGTCAGTGCATTGAGTGTAGGAGTTGGGAGGTCATGTTGCAGCTTGGTTAGGCTACTTTTGAAGTACTGTGTTCAATTCTGGTCTCTCTGCTGTAGGAAAGATGTTGTGAAACTTGAAAGGGTTCAGAAAAGATTTACAAGGATGTTGCCAGGGTTGGAGAGTTTGAGCTAAAGGGAGAGGCTGAATAGGCTGGGGCTATTTTGCCTGGAGCATCGGAGGCTGAAGGGTAACCTTTATAGATGTTTATAAAACTCATGAGAAGCATGGATAGGGTGAATAGCCAAGGTATTTTCCCCAGCGTAAGGGAGTCCAAAACTAGAGGGCATAGGTTTAAGGTGAGAGAGGAAAGATTTGAAAGGGACCTAAGGGGCAACTTTTGCACACAGACAATGGGGCGTATTTGAAATGAGCTGCCAGAGGAAGTGGTGGAGGCTGGTACAATTACAACATTTAAAAGGCATCTGGATGGGTACATGAATAGGAAGGGTTTAGAGGGATATGGGTCAAATGCTGGCAAATGGGACTAGTTCAGTTTAGGATATCTGGTTGACATGGATGAGTTGGACCGAAGGGTCTGTTTCCATGCTGTATGACTCTATGACTCTGTATGACTCCAATTTCTTTCCTCAGTGCGTGACTCACATTGGGGCATGGATTGCACAGTTTGAGACTCCTGTGTTTCACATGCATTAACACAGCAGGCCATTGGTACCTTCGTGGTGTCTTGTGATGAGCAACAGGTTGTAAAGGTACTGACCTGTTCTGGGGTCAGCTACCACAGATGGTTTTTCAACCCTGGGTGACCATTACCAAGAATCCTGAGGGTGCGGAGACTGTCGCTGGTGAATAGTCGCTATGTGCATTGACTCATGCATGATCTATGATTACGGGAGAAAATACTGGAGACAGTCAGCAGGTCTGGAAGCATCCGTGGAGAGAGGAACAGAGTTAACAGTTTGAATCCTAATGACTTCTTTGGATACCAGACTCGAACCATTAACTCTGCTTCTCTCTCCAGAGGCGCTGCCCAACCTGCTGAGTTTCTCCAGCATTCCCTGTTTTTATTTCAGATTTCCAGCTTCCACAGGAGTTTGCTTTTGCCCAACTTTTTAATTTTAGTGGATGGATGTAGCCACATCACTAGCTGTCATCACTCACACTAACTTTTTATCCAAAACCACTTGGAGACATTTAACAAATGTTATGCCTTTGTTTTCTATTGAGTGCAGTGATGGGAAAGTGTCACATGTGCTCTGTAGCTGAATGGTTGAGAGTCAGAGTGAGTGGTAGCTGTGTTAAATTGTGTGTTACAATCATTAATTGAGTTGTAATTACTTGATTTGGACCATGGATTGGCTCCATTTGCGTTCCTCTGTAAACAAGATATGTTCTAAACCTAAACAGCAAGTAATTAAGAAGGCAAACAGAACATTGTCCTTCATTGCTAGAGGGATGGAGTTTAAAAACAGGGAGGTTATGCTGCAGAGATAGTAGGAACTGCAGATGCTGGAGAAGGGTCTAGGCCTGAAATGTCAGCCTTCCTGCTCCTCTGATGCTGCTTGGCCTGCTGTGTTCATCCAGTTCTACACTAGGTTATGCTGCAGCTGTATAGGGAGCGGTGAGGCCACACCTGGAGTACTGTGTACAGTTTTGGTCTCCTTACTTGAGAAAGGATGTACTGACACTGGAGGGGGTGCAGAGGAGGTTCACTAGGTTGGTTCCCAAGTTGAGAGGGTTGGCTTGTAGAGAGATTGTGTAAACTGGGACTATACTCATTGGAATTTAGAAGATTGAGGGGATATCTTATAGAAACAAAATTATGAAGTGAATAGATAAGATAGAAGCAGGGAGGTTGTTTCCACTGGTGAAACTAGAACCAGGGGGCATAGCCTCAAAATAAAGGGGAGCAGATTTAGGACTGAATTGAGGAGGAACCTCTTTATGCAAAGGGTTGTGAATCTGTGGAATTCCCTGCCCAGTGAAGCAGTTGAAGCTACCTTATTGAATTTTTTAAGGCAAAGATAGATAGATTTTTGAACAGTGAAGGAATTAAGGGTTGTGGTGAGTGGGTAAGCAGAACTGAGTCCATGAAAAGATCAGCCATGATCTTACTGAATGGCGGAGCAGGCTCGAGGGGCCAGATGGTCTATTCCTGCTCCTATTTCTTATGCCCTGTCTCTTAAGTAGCTCTAGAAAACAGATTCAACAGTGTCAGGACTTTATCCCACCCCCTCGCTGATAACAATATTGAGTCTCACCATTTATGTTGTGCAGTTACTTTTATAACTTGGCGTCAGTACTGTGAGAGCAGGGAGACCTGGGATATATATTCACAAGTCCGAGCAGCACATGTTTGATTAGGTGGCTAAGCAAACCCATGGGATGGTTATCTTTGTAAAGCATGGTACTTGCCCTGAAAACCTGAGAAAATCACGCTAAACCATTTTGGAATCTTTGTTAGATCTTGGCAGGAGCATTCTGGACACCAGACTTTGGAAGAAATGTCAAGGCCGTTGTGAGGAGTCACAGGAATATTGCGTACAGTTCTGATCACCACACTAGCAGAAGGATGTGGATGCTTTGGAGATGGTACAGAAAAGGTTTACCAGGATGTGGCCTGGTATGGAGGATTTTCGCTGTGAAGAAAAGTTGGATAGACTGGGTTTGTTTTCACTGGAACACAGGAGGCAGAGGTGCGACCTAATAGAAATTTAAAATATTGTAAGTGGTGTGGATAGAGTGGAAAGTATGAGGCTTTTTCCCAGGGTGGAGGGATCAATTTGTAGGGGACACAGGTTCAAGGTGTGAGGGGGTGAATGTTTACAAGAGATGTGCGAGGCACATTTATCACACAAAGGGTGGTGAGTGCCTGGAACGCGCTGCCAGAGGAGGTGATGGAAGCAGACACAATAGCGGCATTCAAGAAGCACCTGGACAAATACATGAATAGGAAGGGAACAGAGGGATATGGATCCTGTAAGTGAAGACAGTTTTAGTATGGAAGTGGAAAATGTGGCAGTGCAGGCTTGGAGGGCTGAAGGGTCTGTTCCTGCACTGTATTGTTGTTGTTCTTTGTTTTTTGAGGTTTAGCAGGCATTAGGGAGTTCAGTTATATAGGGAGATCTGGGATTGGTCTCCATTGAGAGGTTAAGGGGCATCTACATCAAGATATTCAGAAGTATAAGGGGTGCTGAAGCTGTTTGCTGTAGAAACTATGATAGTATTCAGGGTTCATAGATTCAAAATATTGAGTAGTATTAGAGAGAATGTGAGAAATTTCTGAGCACCCTCTGTTGTTAATGCGAAGATGATTCCATAGCAACTTTTAAAAAGCAATTGTCCATATACCTGAGGAGTAGTAATTTGCAGAGTTGTGGGGGATAAAGTTTGGGATGCAGAACAAATTGGATAGATCTTTCAAAGAGCACAGAAGCGATGGGCTGAATGATCTTTGTGTTACAAGATTCTGTGTTTGAATCCGCTGCTGTCGAGCACAAACCCTGCAGTGGAGTTAATGAGGGAGATTGAACTGTATGCTCTCTTCAGTCTTGTGTGCTTTTGTCTAACAGGGCTACACAAATCAAAACCTACTCCTGGGACAATGCTCAGGTGATCCTAGTTGGCAACAAATCTGACCTGGAAGATGACCGTGTTGTCCCTACGGAAGATGGAAGGCGATTGGCTGAAGATTTAGGTAAACAAAATACATCATTCGCTACTTGCATGAGGTGAACAGTGCTGACGCTAGATTGGCTTCACTTTCAAGGGTTTTCCAACCAATAACATGGCCAGTCGTTGTCTTTTTCAGCGCTGGGTTGTGCTCAGAATGCAGCCAAACTCCAACCGGATGGCTGTGGGGAAGGATCACTGAAGCACGCTCATGATTGGTTCTTGATTGCTACCATCCTTCAGTTGCTTGGTAGCACAGAACCCGAGCCTTGTTAAACAGAGAGACTTGTCGCCGAAGCTTTTCAACCTCACAGTTTTCAGGACAAATACACGAATGCCAAATGTTAGGCAGTCACACAATTTACGCCACGGGAGAAAGCACTACTGATTGATTGGCAAGTCAACTCTGATCAGACAAGACAGCTTTGGCATTCTTGTGTTTGTCTTGATGCATACAAGGTGTAAAGATTTGCCAAAATGGTTCTCTTTTCAGCAAGATTCCAATGTTGCGTGAGCAATTCGTAGGCCACTTGCTGGGACAGTGTTACTAGAAAGTTCCCGATTGGAAGGAACAGCTGTTGCTCTCCGTAATGCCTCAGTGGCACTAAACCACCATCAACTCCTTTTTTTGAGTCAAGCAGCTCTCGTAGCAACCCATTCCTTCCACACGTCTTGGTTGGCCGTACAGCCGAGGCCTTTCACACATGGGCTGGCAGTTAAACTGACTTGCAAATCCCAACCAGGAAATGGGGAGGCGATGGTCTCGTGGTATTCTCGCTAGATAGTTAATCCAGGGACTGAGCTAATGTTCTGGGGACCCGGGTTCAAAGCCATGACAACTGGTGGAATTTGAATCTGGAACTAAGGGTCTAATGATGACCATGAAAAATGATGACCATTGTTGGGGAAAGCCCATCTGGTCCACTAATGGCCTTTAAGGAAGGGAACTGCTATCCTTACCTGCTCTGGCCTACAAGTGACTCCAGACCCACAGTGATGTGGTTGACTCTTAACTGCCCTCTGAGCAATTAGGGATGGGCAATAAATGCTGGCCTGGCCAGAATGCCCTCATCCCATGAGTTTAAAAAAGAATCCTAGCTATAGGCTGTCACACTTCAGTCCCATCTCATGTAAATATCCTACTACATTACATCACCAAATGCAGGACTCAAATCCCTGTTTCCTCTTGCTCGGGATTTCTGGATTGTGTTGTCATTCCAGCAGATTTTATTACTGGATATGTCGGATCCCAGCCTGAAATCTGACTTGATGAATCTTTTTGTTTCAGCAAAATGGTCCACAACTGAAACACATATGTGCAATGTCACAGATTTGGTTTTAATGTTAAAACAAAGGTTTACTATACAAAATAAATGAAGATTAAAAAGAATAAACCGAACTATTTACATATAACACAAGTTTAAAGTTTTCAAAACGCATAGTAACATATAATCCCATTAATCCCACAACAACAATATTCACATCAGAGAGTATTCCATCTTCTGTTATATCTAGACAGCTTAACCTAACAGAGACTTTAATCCTTGTTCTTGAGAATCTGATGGATTCCTTGAGTTTCCTAGCACTGAATTTAGACTTTCTAGGCTTCAACTAACACTTTCGGAGTTTTAACTAATCACTTCTGGCCTGGAATCTTTCAATTAGATAACCTCAGTTTAAGGAATTTATTTTCTTAACAATTTTGAACTATCTCCTTTCAGGATGCCTTCTGCATCCAACTTCAGCCAAGGTCTCTGCAAACTGAAAGCTTTCCTTAAGCTATGATGTCTTCCCATACACGGAAAACAATAATTTTGGAACTTTCCGCCTGAAGCCTTATGCACATCAATGTTTATTCTGCTCACTCATAAAACTCTCCCAGCGTAAACAAAACATCCCTTTGCTCTCTAGGGAGTTTCTCTCTCATACTGTTTGAAACAAAATCCCTGTAGCTACAGATATATGTGCACCTTATTAATTAAACCCTTTCATAGACCCAAATTAAGTTCATATGCCACTAGTTCAAGATCCAAACTCTGAAATAAATGATATTAAAATGAATATACATAGCACACCTTGCATCACAATTGGAATTCAAACTTGTATTTCAGAAGGGGAATGCTAGTATTGGACCAATTCTCACTCCCAGAACTGTTAAGAGATTCATTTTCAAGTGACCCCTTCTTGTGATAAAACTGATGAATGTCCTTCTGATGTTCCATATTATTGCCTCTTTGTGTTTTTCTCTGTCTGACATGGTACATCCATGGTTACAAGTCAGTCTGCTCACAGAAAATGGAATGACTCATTGTCAAACTAAAGTGGCAAGTGTCTTTGATTTGATCTCTGGGGCTATTGCAAATTGCTTAGATAGAGGTCAACAATCACTCTGTTGGTACCACGCTCGTATCTGAGTCGTAAGCTTCAGGGCTCTGGTCCCATTCCAGGCCTGAGTTCAAAAGTCAAGTCTGAAATTCCAGTGTAGTACTGAGAATGTGCTGGTCTGTTGAAAGTGTCACTCTTCCAGATGAGACCTCAAACTACCTGCTTACATTGCTGTAGGTGATCCTGTGGAACTGTTTTGAAGAAGTGAGCGTCACCCCTTAGGAAGGATGTTTTGGCCCTGGAGGGAGTTCATCGCAGGTTTACAAGGATGATACCTGGACTTCAGGGGTTAAGTTATGAGGAGAGGTTAAACAAATTAGGTCTTTGTTGTCTAGAATTTAGACGGTTAGGGGGTGATCTAATTGAAGTCTTCAGCATATTAACAGGGAAAGATGGTAGATGAAGATAAATTACTTCCACTAGTTGAAGATTCTAGAACCAGGGCATAGCTTAAGAATTTTAGGTTTTCAGAGGGTGATGGCAGAGTTTGTGTAGGACGGGTTGGTTTTCCCAGCCTAGCTCACCCCTTGCTGGCTCCTGTCGTAGTTGGGGGCAGTAGGTTGTGATGAGGGCAAAATGAAGCTTTATTTATTCGGCACTGGATTGCACTTTTCATCTGTCTCTCTTTTTATTCCCCTTCTGCAGGCTTCGAGTTTTTCGAGGCAAGCGCCAAAGAAAACATTAACGTCAAGCAGGTCTTTGAACGCCTAGTCGATATCATCTGTGTGAAGATGTCCGAGAGCCTTGATGCAGACCCCACGCTGATGAGCAACAACAAGAATTCATCCCTCACCGAGAACCCCCCCTCACAACCAAGCAGCTGTGCATGCTAGAAAGCCCCTACCTTCTGACCTCTTGCTCTCACTAAATCATCAAACACAGAGGGCCCACAGATTTGGGTTGGGGGGTAGGGTTGGTGCTCGCAAAGGGAAGGAAAGTAGGCTTTAAAATGTATTTAAGATTCAGGGCTAATGTGTCAAACTCTCTATTTCATTTTTAAATTAAGAACTTGGGGAGATGGTGGGGTAGTGCCAATGTCACTGGGCTAGTAATCCAGAGGCCCAGGTGGGGACAGTGGGTTCAGATCCCACCATGGTGGAATTTAAATTCAAATAATACTTCCCGAATTGAAAGCTAGTCTCTGTGATGTTAACCGTCAGTTGTTGTAAAAACACATCTGCTTCCCTAATGTCCTTTAGGGCAGGAATCTTTCTGCTTTACCCGGGTCTGGCCTACATGTGACTCCAGGCCCACAGCTAATGGGGTTGAACTGCCCTCTGAAATGGCTGGCTTAGCCAATTGGTTCAAGGGCGGTGAGGGATGGGCAACAAATGCCAGCCATGCCAGTGGAACCTTCGTCCGTGAAAGAACAAAGGGCAGCGTTCTTGTCCCTGACTCGTGACGCAATATTACAGATCGCTGATGGGAAGTATTCGTATCACATTAATTAGATGGGTGCTAAAACCCATCTGCCCGCTCAACAGAGCTGGTGGTTTCCACACCTGTTCATATAAACCCACAGCAGCAATTGTTAAACCCGCCAAGCTAACATCGGGCAGTGGGAACTGGTACACACATTGGCATCCCAGTGGTTTATACCTCCCATCATCAGGAAGAAATGTGGGAACCTGGGACTCCATGTAGGAATAAAGAATTTTTATTTTTCAAGAAGGTGACCCCAAATTTAGATGTTATTTTTTTTTGTTTTGGAAGGTAATACGAAGACTGCAGACATTAACCGATTGACGGTGACCGATTGGAAATGATAGCACCGCTCCCTAATGTCTCAGTAGGTTTTGGTGGTCAATGACTCAGATGTGGGAATAAACATTGCTCAGTGAAACAGTCCTCCATCATTCCACTTCCTCCATCGTTCCACTTCCTCATTCCTACCCCGCAAATATTCTTTGCCTTTCTTTCAGTCCTGGTGTTTGTGCAGTGAATCATGTGAAGCGTCAATGCTAAATTTGCGATGGTATTTTGTACGTGCATGTTGCTAGTTCTCTGCCCTATAAGTATAAATTTTCAGAATCGGTGCACCAGTATTTTATTGGATTATGTCTGTACAGTGTGGTTTTGACTTCCATTCGAGATGTTGACTCACTTGGAGGAAGTGAGGTCTACATGATACAGGCTCTCCGTAAATGCATTTCATATCTTTGACTGCCAGCGTGTTCATACCTGTCTCTCAATGGCTTTTACTGGACTTGCTTCATATGTATCATCTTATGTTGAACGTTGCCTCAACATGAAGCCAACAGGCACAGTATTTTGTTTCTGGTTATGAGACCAGCAAAGGCAACAGGTCCCTTTTGAGTGGTGTTACAGTTCTGTACAATTCAGCGCACACAAACAGGCCATCCATCCCGGTGGATCTGTGCTAGAGTTTACACTCCGCACCTTAATTCACCCAATCCAATCAACATAACCTTCAGTTACTTTCTCGCTTATTTACATATCACCCTTTTAGAACATAAGAGCTCGGAGCCAGAGTAAGCCATTTAGCCCTTCGAGCCTGCTCTGCCATTTGATACAACCTCATCTCAGACTTCAACCTGTTATTGAAAATCTGTTTATCTCATTCTTGAACTTATTAGTCTCCCAGCATCCACTGCACTCTGGAGTAATAAATGCCACCGAATTCGCAACCCTTTTGAGAGAAGTCAATCCTCCTCATTTCTGTTTTAAATGTGCCACACCTTATCCTAAAACAATGACCTCTCATTCTAAATTGGCCCACACAAGGAAACGTCCTCTACTTTGTCGTCCCCCTTTAGCATCTTGTATATCTCAGTTAGATCTCCTCACATTCTTCCAAACTCCAGCGAGCGTAGCCTTAAATTGCTCAATCTCTCTACATAAAACAAGCCCCTCATCTCTGGAGTTCACTGCCCCATGTCCTTTTTATGATATGGAGACTAGAATTGTGGACTGTACTCCCAAGTGTGGTTCTTGTCAAGTTTGCACGCTTAATATTTGAATTCTTTGAAAACGTTTTGAAAGATAAAGTGCCTGGCTTCTGGTTCCTAAATTAAATGAAGTAGTGAGAGTGTTTGAAATCCACTGGAATTACCCAAGTCAGCTTCATGCATTCTGTGTCTCCTCCCTGGATGTTTTTCTGGTCGGCCAGGCTCTGCATATCTATCAGAAGGACTTTCTAAGGAAACCTGAATCCACATGCAAGTAAACTGGCATTGAGGAGGAAGTGGTGCTGTGGTCATATTGCCACTGGATTAGTAATCGAGTGGCCCAGGTTAAGCACGGCTCTGGATTCAAATCCCACTCTGGTAGCTGGTGGAACTTGAACTCAGTCTGTAAATCTGGTGACCGTGAAAACTATAATCAATTGTCCGAAAAACCACAGTATTCTAATTTCCTTCTGGTGTCCTTTCAGGAAGGAAATCAGCCACGCTTACCTGGTGTCAGACTTCAGACCCATAACAATGTGGTTGACTCTGAAAGGGCCCTAGCAAGTCACTCAGCTCAAGGGCAATTGGGAATGTGCAGCAAATGCCTTGCCAGTGATGCCCATATCCCATGAAAGCGTAAAGGAAAAGTGACACTGAGCACAGCAGTTAGCAAGGTGTCTGTTGTCTGCGTTTCTTCAGAGTGTGAGGTTGAAAGTGGACATTCTTTTCAACTTGCCCCAGTGTCAAGGGAGAGGTGGGATTATGGCTTGAATTCTGATTTGATGGTGACACTACCATTTCACACCGCCAAAGTCCAAGATGCCACTGAAATGGGAGCAAGTTCATTTTTCTCCATTTTTTTTTCCAAAGGTATTGGTTTTGTTTGTTTGTTGTTGCACTCTGCTAGGATGTCCCTTGATCCTGAGGTGGTTTTTAATCCCAAACAGGAGCAGACAACAATAACCTTCTTTGTCCAGTGACCCAGTGCCAGTAGATACCTCTTAGCTGTAGTGACTGGTGAAAGAGAACCCATGCTCAGATTGTTGTCTTCTGATGTATCAGTGACACTTTTGCATGTCTGTGTTTATTGCCCATCTCTAATTGCCCTTAAACCATAGAAATGTAATGGCACAAAAAAGGCCATTCAGCCCATCCTGTCTGTGCCAGGTATGGCAAAAAAAACCAACCATTCTACTCCTGCCTTCTGGCACCTGGTCCATAACCTTCCCAGGATTTAGGTTCAGATCCAAGTGCCTTTTGACAAGTGTTGAGGGTTTGTGTCTCCATAAAGCACTAGGGAAGAGATACAAGTTCCAGGCCCCCACCAGCCTCTGGGTAAAGGTTTTCCTCCTGCCCTCTCTAATTCTTCTACCATTCACTTGTGACAATCTGGGGTGGGGGTGTAGGGGCACGCCTAGTGCTGTTAGTGGTGGAGTTCCAGGATTCTGACCCAAGCACGGCAGTAGATTTCCAAGTCAGGATGGTGAGTGGTTTGGAGGGGAACTTACAGGTGGTGGTGTTCACCTATTTCTGCTGCCCTTAACTTTCCAAGTGGTATATGCCACAGGCTTGCAAAGTGCTGTTGAAGAAGCATAGTTGTGGCTGCAGCCTGAAAGACTGACTATCATTGTGAGTCTAGTGTTTATGGTTATTGGATAGTACAGAGCCTGAGCATTGCTGAAAAAAAAACAATACATTTTGTTGAAGCTTTTTTTGATCAGTGCAATTTGTAAGAATGCAAATAAAGGGGAAAGCCAACATTTATACTGTATAAGAGGAGACAGCTGGTTGGTTGGCAAGTGGGCTCTGATTGGGTAGAGGCACTGCCACAGATAATGAATAGTTAATCATTTTAGCAGTAGGCCAGCATTTATATCACATCATATAAAGGAAATGGAGGAGGCTATTTAATGTGTTCCAACTCCATTCACTTGGCTGATTTACAACCCAGCTCCACACTCTGGTTGAAGCCGTTTCTCCCGGTGAATTTTTAATATATTTATGGGTGACTGCCTTACATCAAATCCGAGGATCACAAATAAAGGTCCTCTACCTATGCCTTACATATTCAGTGAACCAGAGGAAAACTTTTAGAGGGAGATGCAACTGAGGTATTAAGTGGAATTAATTAGGTGCCAAATGGGTTTTGATGAACCCTACAGAGTGGGGGCTAGAGATATAAACTCCCCTTGCAATCTCACCTTTCTGAAATGCAGAGAGTTTTGGAGAAAGACAGCAGGTCTGGCAGCATCTGTGGAGAGAGAAACACAGGGTTAACGTTTGGACTCTGGCCGGATTGCTTGAGAGGAAAGAGCTCCGAAGAAGAGTCATCCCAGACCCGAAATGTTGACTGTTTTTTCTCTCCACAGATGCTGCCAGAACCTGCTGACTTTCTTCAGCATTCTCTGCATTTGTGTCACATTTCCAGCAGCTACAGTATTTTTTTTTATATGTGCTTGACGGTGTTTCCGAAATTTCTTGTCGTTTTTAGCTGTGCCGAAGCCTGGAGGGGAGAGAATGGTATCAAAATGAGCTGCAGTTTTGCCTTGGTGTGCCGTTTTCCCAATCCAGCTTACAGCACTGTAACAAACAAAATTCTCTCGTCTCCTGAGACAACACAGTGTGGAGCTGGAGGAACACAGCAGGCCAGGCAGCAACAGAGGAGCAGGAAAGTTGATGTTTCGGGTCAGGATTTCATCTCCTCCACCACTTTGTGAGGTGATAGCAAACTTTTTTCTTCGAATATTATTGAAGAAAAAGAATTGAAATTCTGCCCTGGGTTGCTAGGGACCCTCAAATTGCTGTCACTTACGAAGAGGAAGGTATCCTGGTCATTCTCCTGTGCCGCAGTGATGGACAGTGGCTGAGGAGGGATCAGGGAAGGACACCCTTAAAAGCCACCTCCATGTCATTATCCTTTCTCTAACTACCAGTGCCAATAGTGTTGCTAGTGCCTGAAATTGGGAGCTGACTGCACGAGGGAAAGGGTCAAGCTCTTGATTGTGCCCTCAGCCTGTGAGCCCCTGGATGGGAATCAAAGATATTGACTTGTTGCTGCCCTGGTGTCTTAAGTGTGGAAGATGCAGAACTTCATGAGAAACTGGGTTAGCAAAATGGAATTCAGGAGAAAATCAGGATAATGTACTGGGGATTGCTGGATGACCACAACACTGCAAGCAGGGTCTGGGGTGGAAACGACTGATCCCAGTTACACTGCCTTATT